AAAGAACAGGTATCACGTCAAACGATTGCTTGCTGCTGAACAGCTTTGTTATTCCAAATTTATACCGCGGACTAATTGAAAAGAGATATCTGGATCTCGCCTCCGTCGACTTTGAGTAATTTCTTTTATCGCAGAATTGCCCAAGAAAACCCATCAAAGTGCAAAACTTTTGAAAACTTCGTGGTGTTTTTGGCAGCACAGATTATGACCAGTTAAATTCGTAAAGGCCATAAAGTTTGCTTTTACTGTAATATTACCAGCGCTGTACAGTTTCCTTATAGTAATAAAATTCGTGATTTTTTTCTATGTTCCAGCAAGAACGTGATATGGGTTTCAAGAAATACGCATTTAATCAGTTCTTGAGCAAAAAAATTGGACCACGGAGGAAAATTCCCGATACACGACACTTTCTGTAAGTACTCATTTTAAACGGCTAGAGCATTGCCAAGTACTTCTTTTCAGGGAACCGCTGAGATGGTAATCCGGTCAGAAATCGAGACGAATGCTAGAATCGCCAGCAGACTGACCATCTGACGATGTAACACGAGTAAAGGAAGCAAAAAAGATGTCAGCTGCAGAACCACGCTATGAGCAGCAGCTGATCAAAGCTCTATTTCAAAAAACACTTTTTTAAAAATTTCAAAACTTGTTGAAAATTTAAGAAAACCCAAATTTTAAAAACCTCAGCATTTTGATGTTGTTTATTAAGTGGAGTAGGTGGTAGGTTTTGCCTGGGGCACATAGCCCAAGATTGAAGGACTGACGTAGCTGCGCCTGGCGTGTAGGAGCGTCCCGGCAACGTCACTAACATTGGGGTGGGCAACACGTCGATTGTTCAGGCGATCATGGTAAGGAGCGTTTTTTGGTAAGGTTTCAGCAGCTTACAAGGACAACTCAGCTTGTTGAGTCAGTTTCTTAACCAGTCAAATGTACTGCTAAAAGCATGTGACCTGTTTGAGATGTTTGAATGAAAGCTATGCAGAAGAACTGCCAGCAGCAAGCATTGTTATTTGTTATTATAACGAAGCACCTTCGGCACTGATTCGCATGGTTAATAGTATCTTGGACCGGACGCCGTCCAGTCTGATCCACGAAATACTACTGGTTGATGATCACAGCGAGCCGGGTATGTATTTTTCTTCACTGCATTATTACATAAAAGAAGATTGGATTTGGACAGGGATATGACTTCTTGACGGAAATACGATATCCCTATCTCAATGGCTCTATCCCAGAATCGCTCGACTGTTGTCTCTGAACTGTCTAGAGTGATTTTAAAAGGACAGAAGTTCCAGGACAAGCGCAAAAAAGAGGATGCGGAATCGGCTAAATTTAGTGATAAAACGCTT